ATTGGAAGACGGAGCGAACATTGCTGAAATTGTTGAGAAGACATTGGCTCTACTTAGCCCTTCTAGATCTAAGAATCTCATCGCACAGGGCGATGATGATGTCTTGATCACTGGATATGCTCCAAGCACTCCACGTGAGTTGTTCCATTCAAAGTATGGTGTAAGAGAAAATCCGTGCTTTGCTCCATCCATCCACGACGGTTATCCAAGCGATGGTGACTAATACTTCAACTGTTGAAGAATAACTCACAAATTTAACAAAAGCAATTGAAGGGTTAATGAAGCATATGCAAGATCAAGATAATCAAATTATTAAGCTAACAGATAGAGTTGAAAGCATGATAGAGGGAGATTCAAGTCATGCACCTGGAAAGCTCCCAATGATGCAAGATAGGGGAGACTCATTTGCAAGGCAAACAACGATTCCTAAAGAATTTCAGATTTCATATGACGGGGTTATTTCCATTGACCAATTGAAAGACTTCATTATGGGAACCATCAAAGATAAGTACGATGTTGTATCCAAGTCTTCTCTCGCATATGCAAAGTCATACACTGCGAGAATTGATAGTTTGAAAATGCCTGCAGGTTATCAACCCCTAAAGTTTCAAAAATTTGATGGTAAATGAAATCCGAAGCAACACATTGCACACTTCATTGAAACTTGTAATAACGCTGGAACCTATGGAGATTATCTTGTCAAGCAGTTTGTCTGTTCCTTAAAAAGAAATGCTTTTGATTGGTATATTGATCTCGAGGCTGGTTTTATCGATAGTTGGGAGCAACTTGAACATGAATTTCTCAACCGCTTCTATAGCACAAGGTGAACCATAAGCATGGTTGAACTCACAAACACACATCAGTGGAAGGATGAACCAGTTGTTGATTTCTTCAATCGATGGAGGAATGCGAGCCTTAATTGTAAAGACCGACTTAGTGAAACTTCTGGAATAGAAATGTGTATCTAAGGAATGCATTGGGGACTTCGCTACATCCTGCAGGGTATCAAGCCTATGTCTTTTGAAGAATTGGCTACACGTGCTCATGATATAGAGCTAAGTATGTCTTCAAGCAGAAATCAAGGGCCACCTGTTTATGAACCTCGCAAAGTGAAGGATAAATAGGAAATAAATAAATGAGGCAAGTTTTTGCCGAAATCTGAGAGCAAGGAATCAATGAATGTTAATGCCTCGCCATTAAAGGTCACTACAAAATTGAGTAAGAAGCAAAGTGTGAAGACAACATCCTTACAGGATAAAGTTGGCTGAAAGTTAACTCTGAAGGAAATGCATTCGAAAGAATATCCATTCTTGGACTCCTATGTCCCAACAATTTTTGAAGAACTCCTTGAGTTGAAACTCATCGAGTTACCCGAAATGAAGTGGCCAGACGAAGCTGGAAAGGCTAATAATCCAAATTATTGCAAGTACCATCGGTTGATTGTCCACCCTATTGTAAAGTGCTTTGTATTCAAGGAGAAAGTCATGGACTTTGCCGCTGAAGGAAAAATCTTGCTTGAGGATGAGAAAGACAGTTCGAATCAAGTCTCTTTCATTTTTGGTTCACTTGTCCTTTGCAATTTTGTCGAAGTACATGAATGTGATGACATCCAAACTGCATCATCACCAAATATGATTAAATTTGGTGATTTTGAACCTATCGATGTGAGCAAACCATTGCTTCTCCCTATGGCATACAAACTAATAGTGGAGGAAAGATCTCAAGAGAAATCACGTGATAATCAAACTGATGATACAGGTTGGATTCTTGTGACTCGGCGGAGACGCTACAAGACAAATTTACAAAGGGAAACAAATAAGCAGTTGACTAGGGTAAAAATGGTGAAAAGACCCCAAAAGAAAATGATAAAGAAGAACTGGAAGAAAGCAAAAATGGCGGAGAATCACTATCAAAGGCTACGTCGTCCAGTGACATTGGAAGAATTCCTCCCAAGTTGGTTACACTCGCAAGCTTCCTATGAATATATCAAGGCCTCATGTTGTAAGATAGATAAAGAAGAGACAAAGAAGGAGGGTCCATCATTGCTGCCACCTCCCTTTCCTGAAAAACTCATTGGAAATTCTGAAGAAGTGGACATTGGTGATACAAAAATCACATTTACCAATGATGATCTTTTGCTTGGTGAAACCCACCATAATCGTCCCCTATTTATGGTTGGCTTTGTGCGAGAATAGAGAATAAGTAGAATCTTGATCGATGATGGGCCTGACATCAATATTTTCCCAATTCGTACTGTCAAAGAGCTTGGCATACCGATGGATGAACTATGTGAAAGTCATTTGATGATTCAAGGGTTCAATCAAGGGGGTAAAGAGCTATAGGGGCTATCAAATTGGAAATAAATATAGGAGATTTGCATTCGAATGCATGGATGCACGTGATCAATGCAAAAACCTCTTATAATATCTTGTTATGAAGGCCATGGATACACGAGAACAAAGTAGTTTCATCCACCTACCATCAATGCTTGAAATACTGTGAAGATGGGGTCGGAAAGAAGATAGTTGTTGATGATAAGCCCTTTACCGAGGCTAAATCATACTTTGCCGATACAAAATTCTACTTAAAGAATTATGTCTCAAAGGTGGGTAAGGTTGATGATGTGATATTGACCAAAAGTGTTGCAAAGAGGGTTGATGTCACAACTAGCAAGGAAAATATTACAGTTGAAAAAGATCAGGTGCTTCATGATAGGAACAAGATGAATAAGGCATCTTCAAGTAAGAAAGTGACTCATGTTCTTCGCTATGTCCCAAAGGCAAGGAAGGTCGAAGATCCATCTTTTGAATTACAAGATAAGGTGTTAAGAGACTTGACCATTCCTATCAAGCGAATTGATGCAATTAAATCGTCTACAAAGTTGCTTAAAGGGTTTGTCAAATCATTAAGCCACAATTCGCTTCTAAATCTAGCACTTCCTACAAAGCACACAGATGAGGGCTTTGACCCAGATGCCTACAAGTTGTTAGCAAAAGTTGTATATGATCACAACGAACCATCCAAGTTGGGAAAGCTCCCGCCTAAACCTTCAAACCCTACTCAAAAGATGATGATGGAGAAAGGGTACCCACTGAAGCAATCACATGAAGGATTTGGTTACAAACAACCCCCAATAATTCGTATCTCCATTAAAAGGGCAAGTTGTAACTACATACTACTAAAGAAGTATCTACGACGCTTAATAACAAGCCTTTTGTGTTTGACCGACTTACGAAACCAAGGACCTCAGTCTTTAATAGGTTGGGACCACTGAAGAAGGAAAACAAGTGTCGTGGAAGTAATGGAAGGATTGGAGCACCTATCTCCCTTAAAAAGAAGATTTTGACCACAAACTACCCAAGTCTGATTCCTTCTAGAATGAGGCGAGAGACAAAAAATATAGTTTCGTGTGGAGAAGTCCTCAAAACAAAGGCTCATACTATAGTCTACACTAAGGAACAGGACGAAGATGAAGAAAGTGTGGGGTCATCATATCATATCACCATTCGTGATGAACAAAATACTTCACCCTATATGGAAATCGAGGAAAAGTGCCTTGATATTTATGTATGTCATCGCATATCTTTCAATAATGGTGATCCTTAAAAGGATGAAGACGCTAAAGATGCACCACCAGAGCTTGAAGAAGGGGTGAAGACAACGGTTGATGCACTAAAAGAAGTCAATCTCGGAGTAGTTGAAGATCCAAAGCCCACATATATAAGTGCCTCTCTAACTGGTGATGAAGAGAGCAAATATATTGAGCTACTTAAGGAGTTCAAAGACGTATTTGCTTGGAGCTACAAAGAAATGTCAGGTTTAGACCCCAAGGTCGATGTTCATCATCTTGCTGTCAAACGAGGTGCTTGTCCTCGAAAGCAAGCACAACGTCGCTTCAGACCTGAACTGGTTTCCTTGATTGAAACCGAAGTTAACAAGCTTATTAAGGCCGGTTTTGTTCGTGAAGTTAAATATCCTACATGGATTTCAAGCATCGTCCCTGTAAGAAAGAAGAATGGCCAAATCCGAGTTTGTGTTGACTTTAGGGACCTAAATAATGCTTGTCCTAAGGATGAATTTCCTCTTCCTATCCCTGAGCTCATGATTGATGCAACAACTGGATATGAGGCGATGTCTTTCATGGATGGTTCATCTGGATATAATCAAATTCGCATGGCACCGGAGGATGAAGAACTTACTGCCTTTTGTACCCCTAAAAGTATATACTGCTACAAGGTAATACCTTTAGATTTGAAGAATGCTGGTGCTACATATCAACGTGCCATGCAAAATATTTTTGATGGCATGCTTCATAAAATGTGGAGTGTTATGTTGACGACTTGGTAGTAAAGTCAAGGAAGAAAGATGATCACTTGCAAGATTTGAGGATGGTATTTGAACGACTTCAGAGATACCAACTCAGAATGAATTCGTTGAAGTGCGCTTTTGGAGTTACTTCTAGGAAGTTCCTCGGTTTTATTGTTCGACATCGAGGTATAAAAATTGATCAAGCTAAGGTGGATGCTATCTTGAAAATGCCCGAGCCTAAATATATTCATGAATTAAAAATCTTGCAGGGTAAGTTGGCATATCTTAGAAGATTTATTTCTAATCTGGATGGAAGATGCCAACCATTTAGTCGCCTCATGAAGAAAGGGGTTCCTTTTGAATGGGACCAAACTTGCAGAAATGCTTTTGAAAGCATTAAGTCTTATCTGATGAAACCTCCAGTACTGGCAGCCCCCATACCTGGAAAGCCATTAATATTATACATTTCGGCACAAGAAAGATAAGTAGGAGCGCTTCTTGCTCAAGGAAACAATAAAGGCAAATAAAATGCGCTTTATTACTTGAGTAGGATGATGACGCCAAATGAGCTCAAGTATTCCCCTATTGAGAAGTTATGTTTGGCACTTGTCTTCTCTATTCAAAAGCTGAAACATTACTTCTAAGCTCATGTTGTGCGACTCATCTCAAGAGCGAACCCTATCAAGTTTGTCATGTCTAAACCAGTCCTAAGTGATCGATTAGCGAGGTGTTACCTCCAGTTTCAACAATTTGAAATTGTGTATGTTCCTCAAAAGGCAGTAAAAGGACAAGCATTAGCAGACTTCCTAGCTGACCATCCGATTCTAGATGATTGGGAGTTATCTGATGAATTTCCTGATGAAGATGCAATGGTCATAGAAATTCAGCCTCCTTGGAAGATGTATTTTGATGGCGCTGCACATCGTGAAGGAGCTGGCACTGGAATAGTGTTTATCACTTCTCAAGGAGAAGTTTTGCCCTATTCTTTCACTCTGACACAACGGTGCTCTAATAATTTTGCTGAATATCAAACACTCATACTTGGGCTTGAAATGGCTGTGGATATCAAACAATTGCAATTACAATTTTTTGGAGATTCCAAGTTAGTGATCAATCAGATTTTGGGTAGCTATGAGGTCAAGAAGCCAGAGTTGGTGCCATATCACAAATATGCTCAAAGATTGGTAAGTTGGCTTGGAGAGGTAACTATTCAACACGTGCTGAGAAAGGAAAATAAGAGAGTTGATGCATTAGCAGCCTTAGCTTCTACATTATCTTTGCCTAATCAGACACAAGTCGCCGTTTGCCAAAGATGGGTAGTCCCTCCACCAAATGACTATGAGGAAGAAGAAAGCGAAGTTGAGCATATTGCTTCTGCTCTTGAGGTTGAAATTAAAGACTGGCGACAACCATTAATAGATTATCTTTGTTACGGTATATTGCCGGAAAATCCTTGAAGGAAAACGGAAATCTGAAGGAGAGCCCCTCGTTTTCTTTATTACAAGAATACACTCTACATATGATCATTTGATGGAGTGCTCATACGTTGTTTGGGGACTGATGAATCCCTTCAAGCCTTGCAAGAAGCACACTCTGGAGTATGTGGTGTGCATCAATCTGGGCGAAAACTTCATTTTCACATAAAAATAATGGGTATTATTGGCCAACCATGGTGAAAGATTGTTTAGATTATGCTCGAAGGTGTAAACCTTGCCAATTCCATGCTAACTTCATACATCAACCACCTGAAGTATTACACCCAACTGTTGCTTCTTGGCCATTTGAGGCTTGGGGTTTGGATGTTGTTGGTCCATTGCCAAAGTCTTCTAGTGGACATCTATATATTTTGGCCGCAACTGATTACTTTTCGAAGTGGGCAGAAGTTGTTTCTCTTAAGGGAGTAAAGAAGGAAAATGTAGCTAACTTTATCCGAGTCAATATTATCTATCGATTTGGCATTCCGCGATATATATTGACGGACAATGGTAATCCATTTGATAACAAATTGATGAATAAAATATGTGATCTTTTTGGCTTCAAGCAATGCAATTCCTCCATGTATTATGCTACTGCCAATGGACTTGCTGAAGCATTTAACAAGACACACTGCAACCTGTTGAAAAAGGTTGTTTCTAAGTCTAAGAGAGATTGGCATAAGAGAATGGAAGAAGCTCTTTGGGCATATAGGACCACATATCGCACACCAACGCAAGCAACTCCTTATTCACTTGTTTATGGAGTTGAAGTAGTCCTTCCACTTGAGCGTCAAATCCCATCGTTGCAGCTTGCCATTCAAGAAGGACTCACTGATCAAGAAAATGCTCGGTTACGCCTTGAAGAATTGGAAGCTCTTGATGAAAAGAGGCTGGAAGCTCAACAAAGCCTTGAATGTTATCAAGCTCGCTTGTCTCGGTCTTTTAACAAAAGGGTGCGCCTTAAATCTTTCCAAGTGGGTGACCAAGTTCTTGTAGTCAAAAGGCCTATTATTACCTCTCGTCGATCTGGGGGAAAATTCTCTGCTAAGTGGGATGGACCAGATATTGTACAAGAGGTGTACTCAAGTGACACTTGCAAGATAGTTGACTCAGAAAGTTTGCGGATTGGCCCCATCAATGGGAAATTTATGAAGAGATACTATCCTTAAAGAAAACAAATACGCTCCTTAACGCATGAGCATAAATTGCATGTTACTCCTAGCCCGCAAGAGTATAAACTGTGCACGATCAAAAAAAGAAGAGTCCGCTAGGTTGAAAACCTCGAAAGAGGCGGCTTAGGCAAAACTCTGATAGGTTGAAAACCTCGAAAGAGGCAGCCTAGGAAAAAGTTAAGACACAAAAAAAAGAAGAAAAAAACACCTATTTCGAACTACGGAATGACTTGATCCTCTTCACCGAGGTACGTAGGCAGCTTAGAGTTTCATTCTAAGTTCAGTCATATGAGTTCAAAAATACATATTACCTAAGGCATTATTCAAATGAGGTACGATGGAATATAATTCACTTGATTGACACTTGAAAATTAGGTGTACATGTATTCTTTCGTTGAAATCTCTATCTTATCTTGATGGCTCAATGGGGGAAAGCCCTCCATGTCAAATTGAGGTCTTTGATGGATTGATTGTAGTTTCTTTAATAAAAGGCTAAATATTCAAGTTGAAGGCTCCAATTCTAAGTCAAGTTGATTTTGTCAAGTCTATTACAACATCAATTTAAAGTATTCAAGCCCTCTAGGTCTTAATGTTGTAATTTTCAAGTCCGCCAAGTCTTCAAATCCATAAAGTATTAAAAAAACTCACTTGTTATAAATTGCATAATGACTTAATCCTCTTCACCGAGATTGGTACCTTCGAGACAATTATAGTCTTTAGCAGGCTGCAAAGTTTTCAAGGTCGTCATGTCTTTGAGCTGAATTCTTCAAATTTGCTAAGTCGTCAAGTTGAATTCTTCATATTTTCTATATGAAGTATTTGAAGTCTCTAGCATGCTAAATTTTCAAGTTGAAGTTGAGTTAAATTCTTCTGATCCGCTAAGTCTTCAACTATCCAAGTCTGGCACGTCTCCAAGTTGAATTCTTCAAAGTGGCTACATCTTCAAGTTTAACTCTTATATTTTAACATTCAAGTTGAATTCTTAAAATATACCTAAATCTTCGAGTTGAAGTCATCAAGTCCACCAAGTCTTCTGAGTTTTTCAAATCTGCTAAGTGATGATGAGACCTTTGAATTCGACATATCTTCAAGTTAAAATCTTCAATTTTGGGAAGTCCACAAACTGAGTTAAGGTCTTCAAATTCACCAAATCAAGTTGACGCATTCGAATTTGCCAAAAGTTGAAGTCTTCAATTCTGCAAAATTTTTAAGTTGAAGTCTCTAAATCTACTAAGTCTTCCAGTAGAAGCCTTCAAGTCTGTCATGTCTTCAAGTTGAAATCTGCAAGTTAAATTCTTCCAAGCACCAAGTCTTCAACTGAAAGCCAATAAGAAGCCCCCATAATAGTCTTGAAATCTTCAAATTGATATGGCCTTCAATTCTTTAGTTGGAAGCTTCAGCATATCTCCAAGTAAAAAAAAATTCATTCAACTGTGAGGTTATCTTTACTAAAGTGGTATCTTTGGAAGTAATTTCTTCTTCTACCTGCAAAAAAAAAAAGGGAAGGAGAAACATATCTATATAAAGGATATTATAAAATTACCTATGAAGATTGAAATTGAAGAGATATTCTTGGTGGTCAGTTTTTTTTCATGCTTCATACAATCTCTAATACTTGCATCTCGAAATGAGGACGAGTTTTCGTTCATTTGCACCAAAAGGTCAAATCTTTTTGGCGGTAAAGTAAATCTGCAAGTTAGACTCTATAAATTATCTTCGGTGGTCTTCGCCTTGGACAAAATATAATCTTCAGCTTAGATGGTGTAATGGTTTTAGCCTCGGACAAAGTAAAGTCTTCAGCTTAGATGGTTGTCTTTGCCTTTGCAGAATATAGTCTTCAGCTTAGCCGGTATAATATACCTTGCCTCTTATGAAGTAAAGTCTTTGGCTCAGACGGTGTAATGGTCTTCACCTCAGACAAAGTAAAATCTTTGGCTCAGACGGTGTAATAGTCTTCACCTCAGATAAAGAAAATCTCTGGCTTAGATGGTGTAATGATCTTCACCTTAGAGAAAAATAAAAAAATCTTTGGCTCAGACGGTGTAATAGTCTTCACCTCAGATAAAGTAAAATCTTTGGCTCAGACTGTGTAATGGTCTTTGCTTCGGATGAAGTAAAGTTTTCAGCTTAGACATTGTAATAATTTCCGCTTCAAATAAAATAAAGTCCTTAGCTCAGACGGTGTAATGGTCTTCGCTTCAGACAAAGTAAAATCTTTGGCTCAGACTGTGTAATGGTCTTTGCTTTGGATGAAGTAAAGTTTTCAGCTTAGACAGTGTAATAATTTTCGCTTCAAATAAAATGAAGTCCTTAGCTCAGACGGTCTAATGGTCTTCGCTTCAGACAAAGTAAAATCTTTGGCTCAGACTGTGTAATGGTCTTTGCTTCGGATGAAGTAAAGTTTTCAGCTTAGATGGTGTAATTATTTTCACTTCAAATAAAATGAAGTCTTTAGCTCAGATGGTGTAATGGTCTTCGCTTCAGACAATAAATCTTTGGCTTAGATGGTGTAATGATCTTTGCCTAAGATAAAGAAAAATCTTTGGCTTAGACTGTGTAATGGTCTATGCCTCAGATAAAAGGAAGTTAAATCTTCAAACAAGATGAAGTCATTAGCTTAGACGGTATAATGGTCTTCGCTTCAAATAAAATGAAGTCTTTAGCTCAGACGATATAATGTTCTTCGCTTCAGACAAAATAAATCTTTGGCTCAGACAAATTAATGATCTTTGCCTCAGATAAAAGTAAAATCTTCTATTTGAGATGGTGTAAAGCCTTATCCTTGTTCAAAGCAGTGACATTGTCTTGTATGAAGTAATATTTTTTTGCCAACATGAGCAACGTTTCAGGCAGATACTTTTCTTTGAAATCACTTCGAATTTGCTACTTTCTTGAGCACTTGATAGAAAATTTCAGGAAGAAAGTAACAATAAATATTCGAAGATATCAAGGAATTACCGAAAGAGAAAAGAGACGATCTCTTCGAGAGGACAAGAAGTCGTGCAAGTTGCTAGCCCAGACAGTGGAGATACTGTTTAACCAAAAATCTGAGTCTTTGGTCAAAGCTAAAAAGAAATTCGGGTTACTGATAATCAGGAGATAAAAATAAAATACTCTTGAGAACGATGGTAAAGAAGCAAATAGATGTATATTTCAATGAATTCTCAATAGTATCCCGTGTCCTTACAAATGATGATACTTCTCCTTTTATAGATAATTCTAAGTAAAGGAATGAAGCCTCATCTTTAATGATATAATCATGAGTAATAAATGATATTAAATAAGCCGTTATACAATCATTCCTATTAAATACCGACTTCATAACGTATCAAGTATTTAATAATGAATTTGGACTCCTTTCTGTCACCAGATCTTTGCTTTCAATGCCTTCTATCCGTTGGCTGTAGATAACTTAAATTGGTACGAGACTCGTATCTATACGTTGTCTCGTGCCTATTTAAATTCTTCTTCCCGTGGCTGTTTCCATCCGTGCCTCTTAGTCAATTGCTGCGCTTTGACCATTTAACTAATCCACGTGTCATGCCACATCATCTTTTAATATAAACTCAGTTTTTTCCCAATACAGATAGTCCCCCCACTTTCCATTTTTTTATCAATTAAATAATTGGGAAGTGGATCTTCATGTAAAAGGAATTTTTGCCACAATTAATGCTCATGACAGTACTAACGTCTCATCAGTCTTTTCCATTTAATGTTCTGCCCATGTGTCATTTTCTAATTGATTCCACTATTCATACTCTTTTTCGAGACTTCTTCACTCTCACTATTTACGAAGTGATAGCTGCCTTT